GGGCTAACCTCAGAAACTCCAGAACTAGATACATGATATTTATCGCACCCTGATAACCAGTCAGTGTATCTATTACAGTTCCACACGAGGTCAATTGTGAATTCAAACAGTTCAGTCGTAGAGTCTCTTACTGCAACCCTAGGGGACGCGGTTTAGAATTAGTTGTTTCAACGTTACAAACACACACCAGCCTGACGAGTGTCAATAAGCATGAAACCTAGGTGTCTCAGCTATCTTGGTGATCGCTCCCAACTTTTAAAAAGAGTATAAATCTATTCCCACATACTGCAATATATTAAATATGCATTCTCAGCATCAACAACAAAATTCGGATTTTCAATACAAACGTCAAGTCAGTCAGTTCTTCTATACGAACAGATCAGAAACTTGACCGGTCACAAAGAATATTTCCAACAGCCTGTTTCAGACCTTTATCAACAACTGTCTTCGCTGACTCTATACTGAAGATCAGATGGCCGGAAAGAATCATCAACATGAAACTATGGGAAGAAACGAAACAAGAACCAATCGCCCAACAGATATGAAGGAGAAAGTGGAGATGGATTGGACACTCACTGAGGAGGCCGTTGGGTGACATCGCGAGTCAGGCCAGTGCTCGAGTGGAACCCGAAAGGGAAGCGGCGAGTGGGACGTCAATGCAAGGGTGACATGGAGGAGATCGTGTGAAGAGGAGTTGAAACAGTATGGACTAACATGGATGCAGGTGAAAAGTACAGCAGAAGAGAGAAGCAAGTGGAGACGTGCAGTTGAAGCCCTATGTTCTACTAGGAACCCAAGGGGACAAAAATAATAATAAAAACATACATATTACAACAGATCAAGTGGGTAGTTTTGTTATACAAGTCAACAACGAGTGACTGCAATTTTCACTTGCATCTAAACAGATGAAGTTAAGTAGCACATGTCTATTGGTATGCTTAATACTTTGACTTCTAGGAATGATAAGAAATGACATGGTGGTGAAGTGGAGGAGATTATGTGCAGAGGGAATGAAGGCTTTTGAGAAGCAGCTGTGGAGCCAAATTGAAAATAGACCACAGCGAACAACAGAATTCAATGGAGATTTGTTGCTGAACCCCTCTGTTCCGCTCTAAACTCAAGGGATGAATAATTGATTTAATGACAAGAATTGATATCAGTAAGAGAACCACTGAAATATAAGCACTAGGCAGTTCGAATGTGGTACTCTGCAGAAGTGCTTACCCATTAATCCACCAACGACCGAACGCACAGCCAGGTTATGTACGTGAAGACCACGTTAACATTAAGTTACTGGGTCGGAATAGAATACGCCATAAGTTACAAATTCTGTCGATTCGCAATATAGGC